AAACCATGCAAAAACAGCCTATAATTGGGCCAGTAGTCAGAGGAACTGGAACAAATTCTGTTCATTTTTAATAGTGAGAATAATAAATCATTAGAGCAAAATATCAATTTCATGACTTTAAACAATAATAGCCATCACTTGCAACACTCAGTGGTACAACTGAATTTAGCTCACCTCTGTAAACTGCTCCCAAAACTGATTATTTTAATCAAAATACAGAAAAAAAATAATCCAACAATAGCAGTTTTTACGTAAAGCTTTTGGCCAGAAATGGAAATATTTTAGCTAAAACTCCTGAAGTTGTTTCTTGACTGCACTGCTCGTGACTCAACAACACAGCCCCAGTGAGTCATCCCTGGTTCAGTGTGTGAAGCTCGTTCACAGCTGTCATGGGAAACATCATCTCCCTGAGCCTCCAGCAGAGACAGAGTGCAGGAGGTACCAAAGAACTATCCCTGGGGACCCACTGTAGCACCCCTAAATCTAAATGACTCATTCAGTCTTTTCCCTCTTGGCTTTGAGTATTCTGTTTCTCCACCAAACGCTCAAAAAGATGTTTCACTGGAAAGTTTTTGACCGTCCCTACAAATCCCCAAGTTCAGAGAGTTTTTAAAGGGATTGAGCCTGGCTTAAGTGAGCTCACACTAGGGATTACATCTGGTTTAAGGAAATACTCTCAAAAAATCAATTTCACTGAAAGAAGCAAATGCCTTTTTGCTCTTTTTTCACCTAGATGAGACCTGATATTTGGCCATAGCTAAACAAGATAGTGCTGCTGACTGGCTGCTGCACTTGCAGCCAAGTCCCTCGGCCTCCTTTGGCTCTCCTCCCCCTCACCATAGTGATGCTCAGGAGTGAACTGGCTCTCATTGAACTGTTTACCAACTCCCAAAACTTTACTCCAAAACTGTTAATCTTGCCACTTTAATCCTGTTTCTGTAGCCCAGGAGAAAGCTGTCCCATGTGTAAAAGCCTCATGGGCCAAAGGACCACCGACCCTGCCCATGGCCCTACAGAGCATTTAAGATAAAAGAGAGCTGCAGTGTGTTTATGGACCTGGTATGCAGCTCAGACACAGGATGGAGTGAGCTATGGTGAAAAATAGATTTCTAAAGGTGCTTTTGTGCAGCCCTTCAGGCCCAGCATTCCTATGTTTGTGCTGAAGGCAATCACAGAGTACACACAGGGAAGGACATGCTTGCTGGAAAACTGATTTAAGATGCTGCAAGAGTTTTGGGGAAAAAAAACCTGTTCCCTTGGGCCTAGATGGAACATACTGAAAAATCATGGATAATCAGGAAGAAATGGATTGTTATACCTGAGCAGAAATCATTTTGAAATGCCAGCCTATCCCAAAAAAAACCCCTGTGTGTAATGCAGCTATGAAGACAACATCCAATCTAAATTTCCAGTTGTTTAAAATCAAGACAACAGAGGAAGGTAGTGGTTGCACCCTGTGTATCTGATCTGAGCAACATCTGTGCCTGGGACAACCCTGATATATTGGGTTTTTTGAACTTCAAGCATCTGAGATTCTCCTGTCTAACCCTGGCAGTCTCCAGTTTTATCTACTGGACTCCACCACACAATGGTTTACAAATAGCTTTTCCACATGATCATAAGAACAGCCATAGGAATAACAGGAAACTATCCAAACAAAAGCATAACCCTTACCCTACCCAGACTTTGCTCCTCTGAGGTGCATCCATCTGCTTGCTGTCAGCAGAGCTGCAGACAAGATTAGACCTGCTGCTAAAACCTCCCAGTTTCCATTCTGCTCATTCTTTTTCCATCCTAAAAAGGGATCTTATCTGTGGCTTTAGAAAGGTTTGTACTAGACAGCAAAGTTGCTGTCTGTTAACAAGGAATGGTGACCCTCTGGAGAGACTCACCACGAAGTCTCTGATTTTGGGTCTCAAATCATGACCCCATATTTTTACTCTGACATGACTGCCTTCACACACTGGACCAAATGAGAAGGCAACTGTGGTGATGGAGCCTGACAGAGGAGACAACACAAACCAGGGGTAATCCTCTCTATACATGAACCCAAAGCAGCCTCGTGAGATTAAAAGCTCAAGAATGAAACTCAAACCCAGCAATCACTCTGAAAACTTGGGGATGGAAGGTCTCAGAGAGACAATAAATGAGAAAGGCAAGAAGTGTGACCAGCAGGTTGAGGGAAGTGACTTTGCATCTCTACTACTCTCTTGTGATACACCACCTGGACTACTGCATCCAGCTCTGGGGTTCCCCAACATAAAGAGGATGTGGATCTGTTGGAACAAGTCCCGAGGAAGCTATGAAGATGCTCTGAGGGCTGGAGCATCTCTGCTATGGAGACAGGCTGAGAGAGTTGGGATTGTTCAGCCTGGAGAAGAAAAGGCTCCAGGGAGACCTTAAAGCACCTTCCAGTACCTAAAGGAGCTCCAAGAGAGATGGAGAGGGAGTTCTGACAAGTGCATGGAGTGACAGGACATGTAGGAATGGCTTTAAATGAAAGAGGGCAGGTTTACATGAGCCATAAGGAAGAAATTCTTTACTGTGAGGGTGGTGAGACACAGGTTGCCCAGAGAAGCTGTGGCTATCCTATTCCTGAAGTGTTCAAGGCCAGGTTGGACGGGGCTTGGAGCAACCTGGTCTAGTGAAATGTGTCCCTGCCTATGGCAGGGGGGTTGGAACTAGATGATTTTTAAGGTGCCTTACAACCCAAACTATTTTAGGATTCTATGAAAATGGACATCCCTGGGGTTATGGCTTGGGACTGGTGCATGCATGGAGTGCTATGGAGCATGCACGTGTGTGATCCACCATGCAGCATTACTCCATCTTCATGTTGCACAGAGGACACTCCCAGGGTACAGCAGGCTCTCCCTCCCACAGAAGCACTGCCTCTGTCTCCGTAAGTGTGGCAACACTGGTTGTGCCCAGTTACCAAAGTGTATCTCAAGTGCTGTAAATCCACACCCACATAGACACACTCCCAGCCCGTGCCCAACACCCAGCTCAAAGGATTTGATCTCGCTCTTACTGCAGTTCAGTATATAAAGTAGTCAGAGCTGCACTCACTCTCCATGCCACTGCCCTAGCCATGGAGGCAATGGGTTCAACCAGGGCTTCTCCAAGCAGACATCAAGGTCCCTGGAGCCACAGCACAAGGATCCCCTTCTCATTCTCTCATCTCTTGACCAGATGGAGTCAAGACTGTTGTTGTAGGTGCTCTTAGAGCCCATAATATGGAAACTGCTGGCTCAGAGCACAGGAAAGGAAGCTCTGAAAGCCATTCTTCTTAACTCATGTCCTTATTTGCTTTATAGCAAGATATTATCTGGGAAAGGACTTTGGTTTTAAATGGGACAACACTCAGCAGAGCAGGTGTTCCCAGGGAGCACATTCACTGAGGTCTCTGGGTTTGCTGTTACTATAGCTAACTGCACTGGGACCTAAAGAACTCAGCTGAGCTCAGAACCTTGCCATGCTGGGCATCCAAACACTCAGTAAGGGACAGCTCACAAGCCAAAGGCTCCAAGGAGACCTCATTGCAGCCTTCCAGTATCTAAAGGGGCTTATAAAAAAAGAGGGAGAGGGATCTTTTACACAGGCAGATAGTGATAGGACAAGGGGCAACAGTTTTAAACTAAAAAAGGAGAGATTTAGGTTAGATGTTAGGAAGAAATTCTTTATTCAAGGGTGGCAAGACACTGTAACAGGTTGCCCAGAGAAGCTGTGGCTGCCTGATCCCTGGCAGTGTTCCAGGCCAGGCTGGATGGGGCTCTGAGCAACCTGGTCTAGTGGAAGTTGTCCCTGCCCGTGGCAGGGGGATTGGAACTAGACGATCTCTAAGGTCCCTTCCAACCCAAATCATTCTAGGAGTTTAGGATTCAAAGCCTTTTATAGTTAGCTAGAGGAGAAGAAAGGAAATGTGTGGGGAAGGATTCACAAAGAGATTAAATGAGGTGCAAAGATCATATGAGAAGAATATGGTTGCCACAATTACAAACCAAACATGTTTCACCCTGTCACTTTATTCCTCCTACTGAAAATCTTATCACTGCTTGTGGGAGGGGGTAATTTGGAAGACCCACCCTTCATTGAGTTAATTGTGATTGTGTAAAAAAATTGTGCAAAAAATCGTGTAAACACTTGGCAGCATGTTCCATATTTCAGCACACCATAAAATATATTCCATGTCATTAATTTAACTCCTGAATTTACAAGACTGTGATGATAAGTGAAATATAAGAGAAAAATGTCAGGAAATATGTCAGAAAAATATCAAATGAGAAGAAAAAACAGATATAAACAGACAGACCCCCTGCCTGATCCCATTTTGACTGCACAATTGGGCTCCTGGTCCCAGTTATGGCCCCAAGCTGGGTGACGCTGGCACAGAATTGTTTTTCCTGCACCATATAATGGTGACTATCGTATCTGGACTTTTTACAAAAGGGCAGATTCTGGTTTCCAAGATAAGGATGAGAATAGGCTTTCTTTCCCTGCCAGTCCTTGGATACCCACATCTCTGCAGTTCCCTTGGGAGGTTTAAATACCAGTTTTCCCAGGGGGTGCAGGCAGGAAAGTGTCCTGGCAGAACCCAGAGCAACAGCCCAAGTGCACATACCACACTGCACAAGCTCACGACATGTCTCACACTGAGCATTAGAGCTCGGGCACCTGAGTAACCTGAACTCTTGTAATGGGGAGGAAACAAGCCAGGCAGGGCTGCTGAGACCAGCACAGCCCACCCCACAACCTTTTAAGTAGTAGCTCATGAGCTTGGGAAATGTGGCCATTCCTGACATGGCAGATTCCTCACAGCTGTCTCCAGAGCTGACAGCATCACTCAGTTTGCGTGTAACAAGAGGGATGAAGGGTCTGGTCTCACTGCTTCAAGCCCTAACTCCACACCACACCTAATTGTCCTGGTTCACCCCAAGGTTCACCCTTGGTTCACCCCAATTACCACTGTCAAAGTGCCTATGAAGAAGCAAACTACTTACAGATCTGTGACTCTGGAGATCTCAGCATCTTCTTTGATTCCTGCCATATGGTCTTGCAGTCCTCCTGGAGCTTATAAAACCGCTCCTTCCTCCAAGAGCTTGACTTCACTTTTAGCAGCTGGCTGCCTCTCAGGAGGAACTTCAGATCCTTGTCATCTTTCAAGCCTGCAGAGAAACAGTAGTGGAAATAAGAGACAGCCCAATTATGTTTGTAGAGTCTTCCCTTTTACAGGACAATCATCACAGACATAGACCACTGCAGGGCAGCCATGTCTGGGGAGGACAGCAGAGCACAGAGACACAGAAACCCTCCATGCTACACTTCATGCTCACAAAAGAGGCTGAAGCCTTGCACATTTCTTAGATTGAGTCCAAAGACTTCTGTATGGTAGTTCTCAGGTAGTTTACAAACATAAACTATCTTCTTCCCAGCAAATATAGTCTACTGTTAGGATCCAAAAACTACAACAAAACCAAAAAAAACCCAGTAAAAACAGAGGAAGGAAAGTTGTATAACTTGTAATTGGAGTGCTGTCAGGAACTTTCAAGTGATTTCAAATCTATTCTGCAATAAATTTCCTTTGTGGAAACAGGAATACACAAAGATATCACTCATTCTCTGGCAAGCATTGCCTTCCTATCCACATGGGAATTCTGCAGATCAGTGTCCTGAAGCCTAGGACAGATAAGCTTGGTGACAGGCAGCAACACATCAATAAGGCACCAGTAAGGTAGCAACCATGATCTCCTCATTGCTCAACCATCTGAAAGGATCTTTATCTTCCTTAGGCTACTAAGCCACCACAATACCAAGTAAAAACAACCAGACCTTCTGTTTCCAGGAACTTCAGATTTCACAGCTTAGCCTAGATTCAGCACTTAAGACATCTAAAGAGGCAACAGGCACCCACTAAGACACTGAAAACACAGATTTGGCATTCTACATGGTTTTGAATGTCTCAGCAGTACATGACTTCCACATACCTAAATATCTTGGGAAATCTGTCCCTCAAACCAACCATTAATTACAGATCTGGAGCATGCGGACTGGGGAGGGTGAGAGCATGAAACATGAGAAACACTTCCTGGGCTTTCTGTAATAGGCACCTTGCATCTCTCTGACATTGCATGAAAGGCTGGTTCAGAGCTGGTGAAACAGCATTTAATTCTGTAGTGCTGATCATGTATATCCCATCTCAGTGGGATTTTTTCTAACCTTCTCTTGACAACGCAGGTAACCACCTGATCACTAGCAGCCACCTGCCACATCATGTGAAATTTCCCAATGCTACGTACACATAACATGGGGTCTCACAAAGTAGAAATCCAACTTCAGTGATTTATGCAATAACATCCCTATTGCAGTGGGGCATTCCCCTGTGACACTGGGTTGGTTCTTTTCTGGAAGACAAAGATGCTCTGAATTGTTTTTTAAACAGATCAAGGCAATAAACTACCAAACATCACTTTGGACCTGCTTGAAAAGTAAAACTCAGCATGAGATCCAAATGGCCAAATTCCCAGAATCCTGACTATTCATATAGGAAACTGAAGGTTGTTTTTGCAGATGCAAAGGAGCCTACCTTGAGCTGAGTCTGGCCAAAGCATCCAGAGCTGAAAGTGCCCTGCAAAGGCGGCTCTGGCCTCTCTTCTTCATCTACATTAAATCAGCTATCTCATTAATTAAGTGTCTTCCCATGGTACAGCATCCCCTGGGCCTCTCAGCTCGTGTCTGGTCTGGAGGTTCCCAAGAGGAGAATTTGAATGCTTCCTCCTCTGGAAACCTCAGGAAAAACCTCATAGAAAGAAGAAGAAATGCTGTCTCCTGCAAAGCACAGAAGGGTGAAAGGTTGATCCTGGCTATGGGGCCTGGGACAGCATCCCCAGTGGTTGACAAGAGGCCAGACCATCCGGAGGAAGGACAGACACCACAACAGCTTCACAGGTTCTTGGTCTCCTGAGTTGTGCTGAGTTGGCTTCCGCTCCAAGGCAAAGCTCTTCCAAGTGCAGAGAAGATACCATAGACTCCAGCCTCACTAACATCCCTGTGGCACTCCTCAAGGTTCCTGGAGAGGAAACTAACTTCTTCCTTCTCCCTTCCTTCACCTACATTTCTTTTCTGGCTCCCAGCCTCATTCCATCTTTTTCTTCAGATCCCAGCCACACAAAGCATCATTATGAGACAAGGAAGATGACATCATTCTAGGGTGACATGACGAGCAAAGTAGGAAAATCACCAATTCCTTTGGATGCCTATGTCCCTAAGAGTATAATGAAAAATCTCTGTTAACTGGGACAAGTTTTGTTACACAGAGGCCACATGCAGCATGCGTAACATGTCCTGCTGCCTGGACATCCCAAAGAGATACACCAATATAACAGACAAATCTAGATGGGCACAGGCAGGGCCAAGGGCAGATTCCTCTCTTCCAAGCTTGAACCACAGAGTTCAGACACAAGCTGGAGCTCAGAGCTCTTCATCCTGCTCACCAGCACAGCCCAGTCAGTGTATTAGTGTGAGTCAAAATGCCCCTTCCTCACCCAAGGATCTAACTATGGGGCGGGAGCAGTCCTGGCTGCCGCACCTGAGGACCAGGAAAGGTTAAATGACCAGCAAATGAGGGCACTGCACTTTGCAAGAGCAGGAGGGAAGAATGAAGAAGGACAGTGCATGGTGAAGACATGGCAAAGCTAAAAGATGGTAGGGTGAGTCAGGGGCAGTGAGAAAAGCCAGGGAGGGGACAAGCTTCCCTCTAGGAGACAGCAGGTTTGGCCAGGAAAGGACAAGGGGGCTAATCATGAATGTCTAACAGCTTTGACATCCCTTTGACACGAGGGGACTTTCAGATAGAGAGCACTCACCGAGAGCTGACTTCTGTCAATGGTGACCCCAATCCTGACTGAACCACTCAAGAGGAAGGAGGGACATCCCCTTAACCAGGTGGGCACATCCTGTGTCAGGCCTGCCCTGGGTCTGTATAGCAGCAGTTCAAGCTCACACAACTAAACTGGCCAGGAAAGAGGGCCAGTGTTTTGGGCTCTGCCTCCTATGCCCAGCCAAGCACTGTCACAGACTAGATGACCTTGGGTGAGTCACTTAGATTCTCTATTCCTACCTACAACAGCATTTTGCTAGGCCAGAGATGGAGCATAAGACGCTCTGATCTGATGATACAGGAACTGCAAACACACACATAATGTGTCAGTGGGACATTACTCTTGTTTGCTCATTTGAACTGCTTTTCAGAAAAAAAAACACTTTTTCTCAGCAGAAACCTCATTTCAGGTTTTATGCCTGAACCAGCTCCTGAGGACTTCTGCCTAACACCCCCATAGAGTATAATGAAATAGTTTGGGTTGGAAGGAACCTTAAATGTCTTCTAGTTCCAAACTCTCTGCCATGGGCAGGGACACCTTCCACTGGACCAGGTTGCTCAAAGCCTGAAACTGAGGAGGTTTGCAGTCCAGACCTCCATCTCACTGCAGTAGAAACTTGCATGAAAGCAACCAGAGTCATTGTACAGACACACCATTCAGAAGTTAAAAAACACTGTGCAGCAGGGCAAGGATATTGATTTCCAACTACATAACAACATCAGGCACAAGAAGCACAATCGCCACACTGAAATAGATGTCCAAATCCTGCCTGAAACATGTGGCAGGACTGCATCTTACTTAGCATCCTCTGTAAAATACCGAATACACAGTTGCCATGCAAAATTCCAGAATGCCTTCCAAGGGTCAGGCTCCCCTCCTCACCAAACATCAATCACGCACATCCTAAACAGAAGATATTCACCATGCAGTGATGTTCAGAGTGAAAATCATGTCTGACCAAAGTAGAAGAGCCTCAAGCACACACAGCACTGCAATAACCATGATGTTAATATACTGCACTAGGAAGCTTTAGACACTGAGACATCAAAAATGTTAACCTTTGGCTTATCTGTCTCAGGTTTACAGCAAGCAGGAAGGACAATAAAACAATAGCTGTCACAGTAGAAGCCAGGCTTTGAGTTCACTAAGGAGATAGTTAGGATGACAGTGATAATCCATATTGCTGCATTGCTCGCTCACGAATCTGCTGATCAGATAGAACTTAATTACAGCTGCTATAAAACAAGCCTCCTCCTGCCTGCTCTCCCTCTCCCACCTGGTTACAGTCCAGGCAGAACTCAAGGTTGCTGATTTAAAAGGGCATAAAGCCTTTCTGATAAAATCTAAAGAACTTGGATGGGTAAATGGCTATTTTCCATTTCCATCCGCTCTCTGTAGCCACAGAAATCAAGGGACTCACATCCACTTGGGCTGTGTCTCCAGAGAGCATGAACCAGCAATGAGTTCACAGCCAGGCACAGAAGTTATGAAACTCCCTGAATTTCCTCTTTCATCTGGTGAATACAAACTCTGAGTGGTTCCCTGGACTCTTACAGCAACTGGCAACACACCCCTACACACTACAAAAATCAGGCAGTAAAAGGACACTGCCCTCCCTAAACACCCTCAACCAGGAGCAGTTCAGAAAGCCCAGCTGGGGATTTGGGAACTGACCCTTTGCCAAAGAGCTCCCACATTCTTTAATACCTCCAACGACGCGGTTTACACATCTGGCATGTGGCTACAGGCATAAAGCAAAGGAAACGAAACCTTGGGATTTAAAAAATAACCCTGGCGTTGCCTTTAGGGTGGAGCACTGCCTCTGTGCAGGGAAAAAGAGACAGAAACGACTTGACTGCCAGCGTGTGCCAGCTGAGGATCTGCCCAACCTGTCCCTTACCCAGCCTGATGCCATTCAGCACGGCCACTCTACGGCTCTGCTCCAGTAGCATGTCTTCCTGGGACACGGTGCGCTTGGGCTGCCTTCGGATGCACTGCATGGTCCAGCGTGGGGCTCCGGAGGAGGCGTCAGACTTCGGGAAGGATGGGGGGCCACGCCACCCCTGCGGGGATCACTGCTCATCCAGGAGCCTGCGGCGGGCGCAGTGTCAAACGGGGCTCCAAGGAGGGAGCGCAGGCACTGGGACAGAGAGAGCAGAGGAAGGCAGGGGAGGGCAGAGTACAGCTGGGGGTGGGACCTTGGGACGTCTCTCCTCCAGCTCCACTCACCAGCGCACACTGGATGCAAAAGTAAACCGAAGAGGCTGGCGCCAGCTGCACAGGTGGAAGGGCAGTGGGTTTATCCGTGTCATTTCCAGAGGCTGGAGAAGTCTCAGATATTGTTTGTGGCTCTTAATCAGTGCCTTGGACTTGACGGTTTATCCTGCCCATGACCTCCTGGATTAGAGGGAGTTTGGCTCCACCTTTTCTCCTCTGTGTAGTGCTGCTCCGTGCTGTTCCCGCTGACAGGCACTGAAGACGAAGCTAAAAACACCTCTTAGCCAGGGCTGATGTAGCCCTGCTCGGAAACTGTGTTTTAATGCTCTTCTTTTTCCACCTACGGAAGAGTATTTTCCTAAGAGTCCGGAGAGTGTCTTCTCTGCCACTGATTTCCTGTATGACTTGGTTGAGTCACTTACCCTGTGTTTCTGCATAGCTTTGGGTTTATTCTTATAATTCAGACTGACTCTGTACTCTGGTACAGGAATAAGCCCCCTCAGGGGTTTAACAAGTCACTGATTACACAGAATCAGAGAATAGTTTAGGTTGGAATGCATCTCTGGAGCTCTCGTTTAACCATACACACTCAAAGCAGGGTCACCTTCAAACATAGATTTGGTTGCTCACAGCCTTGTCCAGGTGAGTTTGGATGCCTCTAAGGATGGAGTGTTCACAGCCAATTTACATCCTTGTTCAAGAACTTAGATATTCCTAGTGAAGAATTTGTTCAGCATCACCTGTATAACTTTCCATTGCTTCAGCACATGACCATTCTCCATTGTCCTGGCAATGGCTGGGACTAAAACTCATCCCTTCCCTAGCCATGACCCCTTCTGAGGTGAAATACAGCAGCAATACTTATTAAGCTCTTCCATCCTAGGTGACATTACAGACCTTGTCACAGACTCCCTTTGTTTTGTCATTGCCTTTGCTAGCTGCCACCCTGCCATGCAAGCCAAGGGTGAAGGTACTGCAGAGGGTGAATTTACTTCACAATCAGCATAGCCCAAGAAACTTGACATCAAACCACATGTCACCACTTCTGCCACAGACCTAATTGAAGGCTCCCCATTACCAGCCCCTCATCATATTCAACACAGGTTTTAGAAACATATTCTCTATTTCTGGTGTCTGTCAATCCAGTCATCTTCCTGTTCTTACTCTGCAGTTTGAAGGAAACCCCACCAATCCTCACAGATAAGCACAGAGGATTGGGTTATTTGACCAGCACAAGGACAAGGTCAGAGTCATTAATCACTGCCATATGCCGCATGTAAGAAATTCTCTGGGGCCAAGGCAGAGCTATTGCATGGCCTTGAACAGCAGTACATCTAATAACACCTTATTTACAGAGAGCCACTGCAAATCACAGACAGCAAAGGAGAATAAAAGAAATTTCTGGATGGGACATTGCTGAACATGTTAGCCAGGCAGTCAGGCGGTGTTTGAGAAAACACCTCCAGCCTTTCTGGGCGTACAGGAGCTGGATGTCAGAGCCGTAACCTCCACAGCACTCTCCTGGGAGCTGGGAGCTTTGTTTTCGCCCTGGTGAGGAGGTGGACACTATGATGTAATGGCTGGATGATATTTATTAGCTATCAGCCTCTGAGCAGTTCCCGTATTTCACATTGTACTGGAGAAGGCCTGATCTAATTAAAGGAGTGGGGAAGAGTCTCCCACAATTGCCTCAGCAATACAATTCGCTTCTACACACCAGCTCTCCTGTCCAGCAGCAGCCAGAGTCCCATAGGGATCTGTCTAGGAGCACACAGAGCCCCTCTGCTTCATTTTCTCATTAATTCCTAATAGCAGTGGCCCTAGCAGCCCTGCTTGAAATTTTCCGACCCTCAAAGAACATTTTACTGTACTTATCCCTAAAGTCTGTTCACACACAAAGCACAGGGTCAGCATTCAAGGAGTTTAGATACCTCTTCAGGACAGTAATGTGTGAGTTTTGCTGTTGTAAAGGCTTCAAAGGTGTAAAGCAGTTCAAATCAGTTTGTTTTTAAAATGAAGATGAGATCATTGGGCCAGAAATTCCTGCTTTGGGAAACAACAAAGCTGGATATATCGTGGTCATAAGGTCATTTAAAGACAATGTCACATCTCATAGCAGAAGCCTGAAGGGTAAGTGGGACACTGGGTTACATGGCATTGCGTACTGATGTTACAGGATGATGTCGTCACACTCCAGCACTGGAGGAAGTGATTCCTTCAAATGGCTTATGGAAAAATTCTCTGAGCCTTATTCACTGCAGGTAACACCTGAGTGGCTCGTGCAATTTTAGTCATATGACCAATCCCACTTAAATAAATGCCACTGGTCACATGAGTGAAGTTATTCATGTCTGCATGCCCAGGATTGGGGCGGTGCTAATCACCCTATCGATTCCAGCTGGATTACTCACAGAGCAAATAGAAATTGATGTGAACAAGGATGTCAGAACATGGTCCCAAAGTTAGTAATGTGCTTGAAATCCAGGAAACAGGCACTTGAGATAGAGTGGCTGTAGAGTCTGGTAGGAAATGGGCTATGTGAGAGCACTGTAATGCACAGGTTGCTCTTCAGTTTTCCAGAATGAATTAATCTCCATCACATCCTTATACAAAGGCGCTAAGGAAGCACTATTACCATTTCACAGAGGAAGGAGCAGGTTGGGTTTTGAGCTGTTTGGGGCTGGACTTTTCTCCCATCACCAACACATTTGGGCAACACCAAAAGTAATGCAACCCTAATTCTGGTCACAGTCTCTTTACACCACACTGACACAAACAAGGTGACAGAAATCAGCTCCTGATTTGCCCAGACTCACGATAATTTCAGACTGGACTGAACATACCTGTGCTGGTGATGACCTCACCACTTCCCCATCACATCATGCACATGACTGTAAAATATTGTAACTAGTAATGCCTAGGGTGGCTACATAACAAATAACAAATATTATGGTAACGGGAAATTTTCCCACTAAATGGGCAAAAGGTTGTGCCTTGCTCTATATTTTCCACCCAAGAAGAAAAAACTT